ATGAAACTTGAAATCTCTTCGGGAGTTCCAATAATATTTAAGTTATCAACATATACAACAAACCATTTTTTAAATAAAAATATATAAACAAATAGGGTTATTTTTTTCATAACTTTCTTTCAATAATCATTAAAGTGATTATATCGCATGCATATGGGTTAGTAATAAACGAGTAGTATAAAAATAAAATATAAATATAAATTAAATTAAATTTATAAAAACTAAAATAATAAAACAAATACTAATAATCCTAACGAGAGATCTCTATAATTTAATTGAATTATTTTCTCGATAATATGTATTACATGCTTCGGCATGTTAAGTCTTTCTAGGAGTTTCATCCCGATATCATTTCAAATGAACAAATAAACTATAATCACATTCATTAAATGCATGCATATGAATGTTTTTCATATATTTTATCGAGCTAATAAGATAACAAAATATAATTACATCTATTATAGGAGAATATGTCTCCTCATAGTCAATGTCAATTCTTTACGAAAACTTTTGTGCTATAAGTCTTGCTTTGTATCTTATAATCTCATCTTTCTTGTTTTGTTTTCATAAAAATACTCATTTATATCCCACTAGCTTAACACCTTCGGGTATTTTAGCTATAGGTTTAAAAAACTTTTTTTTTTTGTAAGAGAACATAATTCTGTTTGGATTACTCTTTTCATTTAGATCAATCATCTTTATATGGACATTCTTCAATAAATTTTAGCTCGGGATTTTATTTTCATTCAAAATATCAATTGCAACATTATATGTAAAAATCTTATCAATAGATGTTTCTTTTCGGTCTTATTTTCTCTTTGTGTTGACATAATTTATCAAAATCTCTTGATTTTTCTCAAGCATTTAAACTTTTTTTGAAAGCATATTATTAAAAATATCTTAGATCGTTTGTAAATATTTTCATCTCGCCCTTTTCTTTTAGAGATTTTTATCTTTAGAATCGATTAGTCTTTCACGCTTTAGGCATGCTTTAGATTTATTAGCTATGATATTAATAGATTGTCCTTCCGTGATATCAATTCTAATAGAAGCATTCTCGACAAGAACATGATTTTAGTTACTCATTTAAGATTTGAAAATGCATCTAGTGGTTGGTTTGTAATACTTTGTAAATGAATTATCTTTTGAACTTCTAGTTCACATTGTTTTGTACGAGATTCAATATAAAGATATAGTACTCTATATAATCTTTTTTTTCAACATTTTCAATTGCTTATTTTCCTTATTCTCTCCCCTAATGTTGAAAAAATTACTTCATCAAAATGACGAGTTGATAAATCGAGCTCGTAAAAATACCTATTGTTCATGAATCAAGAGATCGAAGAGGATTCAAATCCAACATATATTCACAATCTCCTTTAGGTGTCTATTTTATTTCGATATGGAGGAGCACTACGGATATGTACTTGCAATGCCAAAAATTCTTAAATAAGAAATATTTAACTCATGACCATATATCAATTGAAGATGAGAGAATTTTTGGTAACTCATGGGTTTGATGCGAATAAATATTACTACATGTAAGATTGTATGTTCCTCAAAATAAACATGAAGTTTTATTTTTAAATAATTGTTTAGCTATCAATTGGATCCTTTTGATAAATAATTTTGCTAAACCTTTTTAAGTATGAACATAAGCAACAGGATGTTCAATCTTTATTCTAATAGCCAATCAATAATAATTTAATTCTTGATAAACAAATTCATTATCATTATCAAGGTGACTTGTTTTAATGACATAATCTGAAAATTATGCTCGAAATCAAATTATTTGCTAGCAATCTCGAAAACTTCGGGTTTTGAGTAGATAATATGCATATGTGTGATCATCTTATGGAAACATTTATCAAAATCATAAAATATTTAAATGGTCCACATGGTGGATGAATTGATCAATATATGTCATCTTGAATACATTCTAAAAATACTAAAGATTCAATCTCAATTTAACTTGGTGATGACTTAATAATCAATTTGCCTTGAGAACATATAGAACATAAAAATTCATTAAATTGAAAAATCTTCCGGCTCTTCAATTGATGTCCATATGAATTTTTGATAATTTTTCGCATCATGAAAAACCCAAGATAGTATAATCGGTCATGTCACATGATAAAAGCATTTGAATTAGTAAACTTCGATTTACTATAGTATTTGTTTCAATCATTCCAATATTTGTAATAAATAATAGAAGAGAAAGCAAGTAAATTTTTCAATACATATTTTCTACCCAGTATAATGATTATAATATATAAGTATTCATATTTGCTATCTTGATATGATATTAATTTAGATGAATATGTTTGAAACTTAATAAATTTTTACGAGACTTCGAAGAGAACGAGTACATAATTTATAATAAAATTTATCCCTTTATATAATAACATATTTGCTCTTCTAGAGCCTTTAAAAGCTATCTCTTCAAGTAATAATATATTCACTCTTCTATAGCTTCAAAAATTTATCTCTTTAGGTCATAATATATTCGCTTTTCTAGAGCTTTCAAAATTTATCTATTTAGATAATAATATAGTCGCTCTTCTAGAGCTTTCTATTAGATTAATATTATCATATATAATATTAACATAAAATAAATAATCAAATAAAATAATAAATAAATAAATAAATAAATTCTTCATAACCATAAATAATAAATATATAGTAAAATAAATTTATCATTATCTCTATGCAATTATAAGAAAATATAAAACATCTTATTTATTAAAAAGCTAACAAGTTATTAATTTCAATTACCTCCATTTTGATATATATAAAATTAGCCTCTATATTTTACTTTTTTTTCTTTTTCAACAAGATTTGATAAAATTTAATGAGGTGCTTTGGTGTACGACATGTACACGACCAATGTCCATTCATATTACATCTATAATATTTATTTTTTAGTGTACTAACTTTATCTTTTTTTTCATAGTTATCCACGTCTAGTGGTGAGATGTAGTATCATGGTCATCACAATTATACATGGCTATGACCATATCTTTGTCCATGCTCAAAATTATTATAAGTTGTCACATTTACTTTAGGGAATTGAGTAAATCCAGTTGGATAAGATTTATTCCTCTTCATGAATAGCTTGTCATTTTATTTAGCCATGAGCAACTATGAAATCGATTCAAAATATTTCTTAAATTCATCTTCTTGATATTGCTACTTGCGAAACATATTCAAGACATAAAAAATAGAGAATATTTTTTCAGAATCAAGCACTCATAATCAATAATTCTTATTGGAAATATCAAGAACCACAAAATCGGGTTTATGAGGTTTGATATGATAAAAATTCTATAATGTAATATACAATAATAATATTAAAAAAATAAGAACAAACATAATAATAAAATTAAAGCTTTTCAAATAATATATATTAGATTATTAGATTTTATATGTTAAATTATTTAAGTTTTTTAAATGTATGTTATATATATCATTGTATTTAAAGTATATGATAAATTAGATACATATCTCTTAATGATCTAAATAATTTAGATCTTTTGATAGAGCACTTATGTAGAAGAAATCCAATGGTTGAAATAATTGATTAAGTGTTTTGATAGATACATACCTCATGGTCTATTGTCTCGATTGGTTAGAGCTTCGTGTTGATAACGTGTTGCAAAAGAAATAGAAATAATAGGAGAATTGAAGGAAATGATGACAAGAAAATGAAATCACTATAATGTGGATACAAGTGATAAGAACTTCAAAGTTTTTCTTATTCTCTCTAGAAAACTTGTACATCAACTAATGAACAATCAAGCCTATTTATAGGCTTCAAGATTAATGAGAGAATTGGAAGGGACTATAAGCTATTAGAAGATGTATGGATTGCATCACCATTTCAATTTCTCAAATTGAATGATGAATTGAATCACATTAAGAATAATAGATAGTGGGAATATGAAATGATCATGGACATTTATTATTTCATAACGAGTATTGTATTTTTAATAAAAATCCATTTGTTTTATTGGAGTAAATAGTTTGAATAATAAAACTAAAAGATTGTAAAAATAAAATAAAAACTACATTTAATTGTATTTCCTAATTTATTTTTGCATAAAGTCAAAAGAGAGACGAAGGCAATACTATTTGTATTTCTTATATATTTTTTGACTTATAATAAATAGCTAATTAAATTATATATACTTTGAGGATTCATTCAATTCGAGTGCTAAGTGGTTTGACTTACCAAATTATGATCCATTATTCAATTATAATAGAGATTTTGTGAAGAAAATCTCTCTTTATTGAATACACAATTTCATACTAGCATGGTTATAAGTGAAAAATCAATTCACAATAATTTAATCTTGATACATAAAAGGTAATAAGAAAATATCCAACTCTTTATATATTAAGAAATACGAGTTAAATGAATTAGTCGACCAAACTCTCTCTATCCAACTCAATTTCACTTTTTGGTAGAACAATTTAACAAACCAAAAAAAATAAAAAATAAAAAATTTTAAATTAATTATTTATTTTAAAGAGTTAAATAATTATTTTAGTTTCAAAAACTAATTAATTAATCTTTTTTTAAAATCTATTTGTAATTTAATTGTTTTTTTATTTCTTTTTAATTTATTTTAAGCAATAGGAAAAAAAATTAAAATTATTAAAAGATTAATCAACAAAGATATTTATGAAATAAAATAATATTAAAATTAATCATAATCAATACAAGTCAATGAATTAATTAATTATATTTTAAACCAAAAGAGACTAACCATACCACTGCTGGAGGATTCACCCATCCAATCTCACTCCCTACGTCGGGTCGATTTGGTGAATCCCAAAGCCAAAAAAAAAAAAAAAAAAAAGCACAAAACAAAACAAAAACAAAATTCTCTCTCTCTTATGTTTGGTAGTCTTTGATTTCACGATATTCACCACAAACAAAGAAAGTAAGAAACCCATATTGTTCTCTCCCAAGAATAAAGCCTGAAACTTGAGAGTCAATGGCAATGTGGGTTTCTTCGTTGGTGAATAGTTTGAGAATAAGTACGATAATATTGGGTTTTTCGAACGTAGCGGTGGTGATTGTTGGTGCAGTTCTTTTGTTTGTTGTGTTTCCTGGTTGTGACCGTAACAGAATAACTATTCCGGTTGCAATGGTGTCTTTGGCTGCTGCTTTCAAAATCTTTGCCATGTTTAAGTCTGGGGTTGCACAGAAGGCTACTGCTATTTCCATTCTTGATTCGCCTGTCGATACTTCTGTTGTTGACTCCATTAATCGCCTTCGAAGACGGGTATCTGCTGAGCTCTCTCTCTCTCTCTCTCTCTCTCTCTCTCTCTCTTAAAGGGTATGGTTATTTCTTTTGGTTAGCGAGACTATTGTTCTGGTAACTAGAATTTTTGTTGTTTGAGCTTATTTCAGCTGAGTGTTTTGCATTAGTTTTAATTGGGTTTCAGAATGTGTTTAATGCCTAGCTGGTTGGAGATTTTTGATTATTGGCTTAGTGAACTTGGATGGTTTTAGAAATGGCTTGTATTTCTCACCTTTGTTTGACTAAATTTGTGTATAGAGGATCAATATGTTTAGGAGCTGGATGGCAAGTAAGTTATGGTTTAGATTTTACTTTTGTTTCCTTAGGTAGATATATCATTCAGGAGTGCCCTTTAACTTATTGAGAGGGGATTCACATTCTATAAAAGATTCTCTAAGCATCTCGATGTGTGGAGAGGTGCTTCTTTGGATTTGTATTTAAAATGTGCATTTGATCATTACAGTTTCATTTATTTATTTATCAAGATCTATTAGGCCAGATTAAGTGAACAATATAAACTGGCAAGGTACTAAATTGATTTTCAATGCAAAACTGGAAACTGGCTGAATAAATGTGAAAATATCAGCCATAGGTTTCTCCTCTTTGCATATAGGTAAAAGGTTAAAGCAACCTAACCAGAGAAGACTCTTTTGCTTGAGTTAATCTCGTTACATGAGTTACAGTCCACAGTCATCCTTGATTACATCAGAGGGAATTTCCTTTTTTAAAACATTGCATGCTGCGTGTTTTAAGAGTGGTGAGAATGGTGATTTTTTTTCTTGAACTGCTTTGTTACTTGGAGAACATGTGATAGGCTTTTTAGCAGTTGTGGTGTCCTGATCATCCTTTTCTTATTATTGTTATTAGTATTATTATTATTTTTTGTGAATAGTGGGTTTCCCAATGAACTTCGGAGAATTTTTTGTTAAATTTCTGTATTTAGGAGGGAAAAAGATAGCAAGCTTTTCTTTTTAATGAACAAAAACAATGAAATGATTTAAGGATCGACTTTTGGCAAAATGGGATTGAGTAGTAATTTTTGGTTTCTTTGTAAATTGTTCAAAGCATATTTCTTTAGCTAGGTTCAAGTATTGGTAACATTGGCATGATGCAAAGTTAAAATAGGGAATGTGCTTGAATTTTGACCTTACAAACATAGCTAAATATATTTTTCTAGCTAAATATATTTTTCTAGTCTGCGTTCCTTTTAACTCCATTTAATGAATTTTTTTCCCTGAACAGGTGAGGTACAAAACATGGCTTTGGTGGAGTCGGTTTGCATTGGTAATCACTCTGCTGCAAATTGTGACTGCAATTTACCTTGTGTTTAATGTGGTTAAATACATGTCTCATAATGGGACATCATGTGAGTGTCTCTCAGGTAAAATAAGTTAGTTTATTTTTATAAAATAAGTTTTTAGTTTGTTTTCATCTTTTATAGTGTTTATTATGTTTTGTGAATAATCGATCTGCATCGGTAGCAATGCTTGTTTCTGCTTTATCTTATTATTACTGTCACTGTACTTCCACCTGTTAAATATCAGCTCAATCATTGCAAAAATCTACAATTTAAAATCTTCGTTTGTTGGTTCAAGTATCAGGAGTAGGAAGTGTTGAAAATTCTGATTTTGTTTGAACTCAAGATGGGAAATGTAATCAAGAGTGAAACAGAGATTAATGGATCAGGCCCTCCAAAATGAGATCTGTTGATAATTAGAGTGAAGATATCTAGATAATTGTTGACTTGAACCATAAAGTCTTAAGTCAAAGTAATAGAATAATCAAGGCAATTGTCTGTTGGCCATGTTAGATTGGCTAAAAAATTAGGGAGTAATTCATTAAATGCAGCAAGAAATTGTGAAGACCCCTGTGCGCTTTTCTCTCCAAACTTGGAGGTAATTCTTTTTTATCTGCACTTTTGCAGAAGTGATGCATAAACTAGCAATAGTGTGTTGACTGTTACCTTGGCAATGGAGTTACACAGTTGATAATTGCAGCATTTTGAGCCTTTGTTGGAATTGTTGGTGGACCCAGGAGGCACATTATAGGATTTGATCTTCTGAAGGGGCATTCATTTAGTCAAGGATATAGATCTTTGGTCCCACCATCATTTACTGTTTAGTTAGCGCTTGTTGGCTATCATTGCACCTATGACTTTGTTTTCCATTAGCCTTTTTGATGAACAAAATTTTAGCTTCTGAGGTTTTCTCACAGATTCAATGGTTTAGCCTAGTAGATGCTAGAGTGCATTTCTCGTAAACGTGTTTAAATGAATCTTTGTTTCTGTTCTGCAAACACTTGAGTTCATTTGAAAAATGTTTCTCATTCAGGGACATCTTCAAATGGTAACAAGTGGAAGACAAAACTACTCATTTCATTTGTTATCACAGTCTGTTCTGTTCCACTAATGCATATTTTTGTGGGACCTGCGGTCCTAAGATGGAGATCTTTTTATGAAACCCAAGATGACGTGTGGAAGGCGCACTATCAGGAGGTGTTTGACCATGGAATTCGTCAGGCTTTGTGCTGTCTGGGGCGCATCAAATACATGTATCTTTCTCAGCATTGTATTAACCTTTAAGATTTGAATTTTCGTCAACTATCTCATAGCCAGCTTCTTTCTAATTCCTATAGGCAGGTGTCTAAGGAAGATGAAGTTTACTCAGTAGCACGATTATTGGGTGATCTTGTTGCCTATCGTGCGTCAGGCACTGGACATTTGGAACTTCTGGCAGGTTTGTTTTCACCTCCCTGCATGTTGCATATTGAGTTATTGATGTTCTATAATCTCTGTCATATACAAGGAGCTGATAGGCATGCTGTGTCTTCTAAAAGGGTCAGAAATTTGAGGGCTAGAGATCATTAGTTAAGATGGAATCCTAAAGACTTGTCAAATCAATCTATTGTTCATCAGTGGGACATGACGGTGTAGCACCTTGACTTGGTTCGCCCTAGCTTCTTCCCTTATTTTGTCCTTCTCCTCTTGGTCTTCTATCTATGTTGTTCAAATCTATACTTATCGTAATGCCTTCAAGTTTGCTTCATGAGTGCCCACTGTTACTACACTCCAATGGAAATTGAGCCATATATATGAAATTAAAGCTCAACCTGATAGATTTAGGAAAGTAAAGAATAGATGAAAGAAAGATGTTGTCAGTAAATTGACAATTTGTCCATAGGGCTAAATTTCAATGGAAGTTGTACTGACTGTTCATTACTTTTGGAGCACTGAAAATTTTCTCCTGCCACTTGTGTTAAAGCTCAAGGTGTTCTGTACCAGATCTAAAGTTTTGGTTCATTTATTTGTGCCTAAAATTCATTTTATTGCCAAAATTTGACGTTACTCATAAACTAAAAAATTTCACTCTTTAATTGGGGTATTAGAAATGGTACTGGACTGCAGCCTTCTCTGTCATACTGGACTTTTCCATTGCATTTAGTTCAATTGTATTTTGGAAGAGAGACTGTATTAAAGTTATAAAAGAAAGTCTAATCACCAGAAAGGAAAAGAAATACTCATCTCTTTAAAAATATTAACGAGACCAGTTGTTATAAAAGCTCAACTCATTGGACATCTTAATAGGGATACTGCAGAGTCACTGTCACAGAGATTCTAAAACCATATTGTTTTTCCATCAGAAGATGCATGTTTTTAAATTGCAGACACACTACACACATAACCATACTGCCTACACGTGTTCTTCAAATTCTGATCTGTCTTTCGTGCTTACTTTTTCTGTTTTTTCACAAACTAAAATTTAATTATTTTAAGGGCATTATAACTGATTATATCCATGACTTTGTCACAGTCTTAATCAATCATGACAAGAAGATCCTATTTGTTTTTGTAAGGGGTGTACACTTGAGAGGGGGTGTTGATGGGTATTCCCTCATCAGTGTTATATGGGGCTTGATATTGTTTTACATATTGAATGGAAAATGCTTTGCACACTAACAAATTTTATAGACAAATGTGGCATCCAATGAGGCTTTCCATGCATATACATTGTCACTGCCATGCTATGGAACCTATGACATTTCTGCGTTTATAACAACCTATGTATTTGATGCACGAGCGCACTTAAATAATTTTTTCCATGTGTGTTTGTGGTTGGTTTTGTAAGATAGGCATTGCTCATACTGTTAGGTGACCTTGGTGGATTAAGTTTTGCTGTGATTTTGGTTAGTTGATTTGGTTTTTCCCTGAACTCCAAGCTGGTTTTGTGGGCCCATCAGTGAATCATTTGTTTGTTGGGAAAGTAGAGCCTGCATGTTTCTCTAGGACTTATGTCTGCCTGGGCTTGAATAGTGAGTGAATCCCACAATCAGTCAAGTTGCCATTTTAATATTTATGTGCCATTAATGAGCTCCATAGCTGTTTAAATTCTCCACTTGTTGCTGTTATCTTTTAACTTGTTCATTCTCAACCCGTTATAAGAAAAAGACAGCTTAGTTATTTGGTGTAGATTGTTGCCTAAACTCTGAAGTCCTAGTTTATTGTTTTCTTTGTTCTCTATTATTGCCTTTCATTAATATATACCTTAAATGCAGTATGCTATTTCTGCAGGTTTAGCTTTGTTGCAGAGGAATAGTGAATCCCCTAAATCTCATGATGGATTGGTAGAAGCACCCAGAGAAAAGATTAGGGAGGCCTTTGCTTTTCATGAATTTGCTGAAGCTGCATACACTGTACTGTGATTCAACTTTCTCGTTAATTTTGATTAATGTTTTTTTTTTGTTCTTTTTTCAATGGCAGAAGATTACTGTGGTGAATTTTGTAAAGCTGCTATATTTTTCAGGGTCCATTGCTCGATTTGGGAAGACATACTGTATTTTTTCCTTGTGCATGGCTCTACAGGCAAGGGATTTTGACTCCATGGGCTCGTAACAGGTTGTTTATTCACCGGGTATCTTGGTTAGTGCACATACGGCATGCATCTAGATTATATTAAAGGTTGAGTTATTTTATTTTTTCATGTTGTTTTACTGATCAAAACATTAATATGCACGCAAGGAATTTTGTCTGTGAGAGAGAGGTTACATGACTTTTAACGCCAAAGGAGGTTTTCTTGTTGTTTCCCTTAAAGAAACCTAGGCTATTAAGAAGGGAATAGTACTCCTCCTTGTTTTCCTTAAAGGAACCTAGGCTTGAATGAAAGGAATATTGCTCCTTTCCATGCTCCCAATCGTATGTGTGGGAGAGATTGTGGACTGAACCTGTTGTGGGACGAGCAGTACAAACCTTGGAATTTTAGCCTTTTATGAATTCTGGTTTTCCAGTTGATTGTTATTTATCTCAATGTCCTTACATTTCCCATTTGTACATAAATGAAGTAGAAAGTTGATATTGCCCACCCATTTTAGATGGGGTTCAATAAGAGAAATCACATGCATAGCTTTGCAAATATAACCTGTTACAGTGGACTTGAATGTAAGAATTTATTCCGAAGAAGCCACATTCTAGAAAAACAGGTGGAAAATTTTAGGCTGAGGGCAATAAATACATGCATGCAAAAATGCATATAGTTACGTGCCCTTATGCAAATTACAGTGTATGCCATCATCTTATGTGCAAGGGGTAAGGTATCTTTCCATTCCCATATACTGATTATACACGACTGCCTTTTCTTCTCTCAGGCGGCCCTCACTCTCTGGAGATAACTGGTGGCGGGGTCATGCGGCAGCCTTTTTAAAATATGCTAATTTACCTCCAGAGGCTCTTCGACGTGGTCGTGTTTGTCAGGTGAAATTCATATTCTTATCCTAACTGCAATAAAAAAAATTGTTTGGGTTTGTCATTTTAGGTGCCGTTTTTTTTTCCCTCAAAATTAGATAGGAAAGTGAGATTCTAAGCATCAATATGTTGAGTTTGCTTTCCCTAAAATTTCATATTCCAGACCCTCTTACTTTCCCTTGTTGTTGTTGTTGTTTTTTATTTTATTTTATTTATTTATTTATTTTTTTGGGTGGGGGTGGTAACTTGCTTTCCCAAGTGTTAGGAAATGAATTTTAATATTGTGATAGATATATCCTTATTGTTCACAATGTTAGACTAATGATACACTCAACTTAGTTTTTCATTCCCATAACTCAATATAAAATGTATTAAGCAAGATTCTGTCAGAAAAATAAAGAACAATTTTGGTAAAAATTAATCCTAAATCTCAAGCTTTTTCTTAATATTTATCATAATTATTATTATTATTATTATTATTATTTTTATATATCTACTGCTCCTGTTGCCATAATAATTGAATCAAGTAAAGATCGAACTGTAGAATAGTGATTTTGAAGTGCTTAATATGGTCACGAAGATATGTTATTCTTCACACTCAATTTCTTTTTTATTTCTAATTTATTTTCTTTATAATTTGAGTACCAGTTCACATATATTGATTATTGAATTTGATTTTTTATATTCTTATATAACTAACTAGTTCAATTTCATGAAAAAATTAATTTCATTTTCATATATGCATGCCCCTTTTAAAAATGCTATTAGCTTCTCCATTATACAAGGATATAATCCTTCTATGCAAAAAATTTTATTTTTTGAAAAACAGGAGTTTATCATTGCACTTGATAATTCAATAAACCATAACGATAACAAGGGTATGGTGGTAATTGAAAGTTTCTAGGAGAGATGTATTTTTTATTCCACTATACATTGAGGTAGGACGAGTATGTACTTATAGGTAGAGATTTTTTCCTAATCCACCTTAGGAAAAAACATATAAATCCCTAAATTATATGACAACTACTATTTAGGAAATTGATCCCAAATATTTAGGAGACTCGATGATCTACTTCCTAAAATAAAATGATTTCCAGAATAGGCTAATCATATAAGATCTTTCTACACTCCCCCTCTAGCCGAGACATATATGTTAATCATTCCCGACTTGCTTACTAAATCTTTAAATCTTAGTTTATGCAAGTTTTTATTTAGAATATCGGTTGCCTGAATTTTAGTAGGGATATAAACCTTGCATACAATTCCATTGTCAATCTTCTCCTTGATGAAGTGTTGATCAACTTCTATGTATTTTGTTCGATTGTGATGAACAAGATTTTGAGCTATACACACTCGCTGCCTTGTTGTCACAATATAGCTTCATGGGAAAGGCTGTTAGATATCTTCGAGTTCACTAAGCAATCTCCCTAGCCATATTCCTTCACAAATACCTTGAGCTAAAGCTCGAAACTCGCTTCCGCATCGCTTCTAGCAGCTATAGGTTGCTTCTTACTCCTCTTAAGTTACAAGATTACCCCGGACATATGTGCAATAACCCGAAGTTGACCTTCTATCCAAGGGAGAACACGCCTGATCTGGATCGGTGTAAACTTCTATCATTCTTTGTTCACCTTTCCTAAAGAATAAACCCCTACCGGGAGTATTCTTTAAATACCTTAAAATTCTATAAGTTGCATTAAGATGTCTCCTTAGGTGAATGCTTAAACTTACTAATCACACTTACTTGGAAAGGCAATGTCCGGTCTTTTGTGTGACAAGTAAATCAGCTTCCCTACAAGCCTTTGATACTTGTTCCCCGATCAACTTCTTTACCTCCTTCAATATCTAACTTAGTATTTGGATCCTTAGGTGTCGTGTTTTAGTTGGTCTAAAAACCCAACATACCTGTATCTTGAAGCGGATCAAATACATACTTTCGTTGTTTAATTGTAATCTCCGATTTGCTTCTAGCAACTTCCATACCAAGGAAGTACCTTAGACCCTCCAAGTCTTTCAATTAAAATGCTCTTGCTATGTACTTTAAAGAAGTCAATCCTATGTGATCGTCTCATGTTAGGATAATATCATCTATATACACTATAAGAATGACTATTTTTTCATCTATAGAGTGCTTGTAAAACAATGTGTGGTCGGATTGTGTTTGAACAAAACCCCTACTCTTGATAACTTGAGTAAATTTTTCAAACCTCTCTCTAAGAGATTGTTTTAACCCATAAAGAGATTTTTTCAAATGACGCATCGGGTTGTCCTTTCTTTCAAATCTAGGAGTTGCATCCATATAGACTTCCTCATGTAAGTCATCATTCGGGAATGCATTCTTTACATCCAATTGTTGTAGTGGCCAATCAAGATTAGAGGTTAAGGAGAGAGGAACTCTTACTATATTTAGCTTGGCCATTGGAGCAAAGGTCTCTTGATAGACAATTCCATATGTCTTAGTAAAGCCTTTAGCCACAAGCCTAGCTTTTTATCGATCGATACTACCATCAACATTGAACTTCGGTGTAAACATCCACTTACAACCCATCGTTTTCTTCCCTTTAGGAAGTGCTTGCAATCTCCCATGTGCTACTTTTGTTCAAGGCACCTATTTCTTCTTGAACAACTCGCTCTCCACTTCGGGTCGACAAGTGCTTTTTGCATATTTTTTGATACCTCCGTTCCGGATAGTGAAGTAGTGAAAGCATGAAATTCGGGGGACAACCTTTTATAAGAGACAAACCTGGATATAGGATGCTTGGGTATATGATCCGTTTCCTTGTCTATGAGCAATTGAAATATCTAGGTCTAAAGTGTGGGTTTGAAGCTCAATATCATGCTCGAACGAGTTCATTAGTACCTTTGACGACGGGACTCGGATTCCGGTCGGACTCTTGACAATGTTGTGTTTTAGGATTCTCCCTCTTTTGAGAATGTTTCCTACGTGAATAAAGAAGTAATTGTGATCGAGAGTTATCTCGCCTTGTTTCTAATGTTTCCCTGTGTGTATTGAGTGGCACAATAGGTTGAGATTCAATATTAGGAATTAGGGTTGAAATTGGAAAGGAAGACAGGGATAAGGATTCTATTTTAGGTATATCCCATGACTTATTTTCTCTTGAAATCTCTCCTTGAAGATAAGTATTCGGAAAAAAGATTGAGACTAAAAAAGAAGACATCCATGGACACAAACACGACGAAGTGATGGAGAATATCATTTGTACCCAAGTTGAGTGGGAGAATGCCTAATGAAGACACATTTGAAAGATTTTAGGTCTAGTTTATAATGATTTTGGATGTGTAAAAAAGTCTGTATATATGGAAGTCTCAAGTGGTATGGAGGAAATAGAATGAAAGGTTGGGATAAGTTTTTAGCAAAGTTGACAAAGGGGAGTCAAATTTAAGAACTTGCGAGGGCATTCTATTTATGGGGTAAGAGGCCGTTAGAACGACTTCTCCCTAAAAACATATTTTGGGACATGCATGATAAACATTAAGGCTCCAAGTAATTTTAAGGAGGCGACTTTCTTTCTGCCGGACCATTCTGCTGAGGTGTGTCTAGACATGAACTTTGATGGATTATTCCATTAGTTTGAAGGTAGTGTCCAAGAATTACATTAAAATATTTCTTTCCATTGTCGGTTCTTAATGTTTGGATAGAGGTGTGAAATTGGGTTTTTATCATTGAATGAAAAATTTGAAATGTTTTTGCGGTTTCGATTTTTCTTTAAGTAAATAAATCCAACAAACACGAGTGTGGTCATCGATAAAGGTGATGAACCATCGTATACCGGAGATAGTTTTTACATTAGAGGGTCCTCATATGTCACTATGAATTGAGGAAAATGGACGAGACTCTTGGTATGGTTGGATTGGGAAGGATGCATGAGTATGTTTGGTAAGATGACAAATTTCACAACTCGAAAGAACTAGGATTTTTATTGATAAATAAACTTGGAAATAGATGTTTGACATGATAAAAGTTTGAATATCCTAACCTAATGGTGCCACAACATTACTTGCATTATTGATAGCGAAGTAGAGTCACTCTCAACCACACTAGCTTTCTTAGTCATGCATTTATCATCCTAAAATAGTAGAGTCCACCTTTTTCTTTAGCACCGCCAATCATTCTTCTTGATTTCAAGTCTTGTAGTATGTAAGAGTTGCTAAAAAATACAGCAATATATTTAAGCTCACGGGTAATCTTGCTAATAGAGATCAAGTTACAAGCAAGATTTGGTACATAAGGAACGGAACTCAAAGAAATCTCTTTTGAGAGATGGATTAAGTCTTTTCCAATAACAGGAGAAAAGGTACCATCTCGCTACTTTAACTTTGAAATTTTCATGACAAGGAGTGTGGGTTAAAAACAGAGACAAGTTACCTATCATATGGTCGGATGCCTCGGAGTTAAGTATCCAAGTATTTGTATTTCTTGCATGAAGAATTGTACCTTTATGGGTTGAATCGCTAACATTCGTATTACTCATTGTTGATTGACCCAACAATTTCGCAACTCGTTCCAGCTTGAGATTTGCTTAGGAATACACCATTTGACTCATTGCTAGTACTAGTTTTCTTAGTTTTCTCCTCTACTATTACTTGAAAACCCTTTTTATTCGTTCCTTAAAGCTTCCAATTCACTGGTTTTCCTTGGATATCCCAATAGATATCATGGGTATGACCAACTCGTTGCGAGTGGTTCCTTAAAGCTAGTACTATTTTTTTGATCTCCACCATATCCGTCATAGGAATTGCGTACGACAAGAGCCGCTGTATCAATCGACCTTTCTCCGACCAAGACAAACATGGAGTCCCTTTTCCACCAAGCATAACATATCTCCTATTGGCTTCTCGTCTTACTTCGCAAATGCTTCATCAATAGAAGGCAATGGTCTATGCCCCATTAACCTTCCTCGCACCTCATCAAGCTCCGGTGTAAGGCCGATCAAGAATTCATACAATTTTTCCTTCCTAAATGCCTTTTGAACTTTAGATTGCCTTTAAGATCTCCCTAATCTGCTTTATAA